GAGGTGCGGCCTCACCAGTGCTGAGTACAGGGGCACGATCACTTCCCTGCTCCTGCTGGCCACACTATTTCTGATACAGGCCAGGATGCCATTGGCCTTCTTGGCCACCTGGGCACACTGCCGGCTCATGTTCAGCCGGCTGTCGACCAACACCCCCAGGTCCTTTTCCGCCAGGCAGCTTTCCAGCCACTCTTCCCCAAGCCTGTAGCGCTGCATGGGGTTGTTGTGGCCAAAGTGCAGGACCCGGCACTTGGCCTTGTTGAAGCTCATACAGTTGGCCTGGGCCCATCGATCCAGCCTGTCCAGGTCCCTCTGCAGAGCCTTCCTACCCTCGAGCAGATCAACACTGCCGCCCAACTTGGTGTCGTCTGCAAACTTACTGAGGGTGCACTCGATCCCCTCGTCCAGATCATTGATAAAGGTATTGAACAAGACCGGCCCCAAAACTGAGCCCTGGGGAACACCGCTCGTGACCGGCCGCCAGCTGGATTGAACTCCATTCACCACAACTCTCTGGGCCCGGCCGTCCAGCCAGTTTTTGACCCAGCGCAGAGTACACCTGTTTAAGCCGTGAGCCGCCATCTGGTTACTTTCCTTCACTGCAACTTGCGCGCGCAGCCCCTTGTCCTGTGTGGTGTCCCGCTGCCTGTATCTTCTCCCATGCCTATCCAGGCGTTACAACAGCATTTGTAACTGCAGCAAAACCTGCTGCAGGAAGGTTTAAGAAGGGTTTGCAAGTCTACACAGCTGAAGTCCTTGGTCATGTACCCCCGCTATAGTTCAGAAAATGCAGTGTTCTCTTATTCCCTTTGCCAAGTAAGGAACGGGTTGGGTATGGTCAACATTGGCTTGGATTAAGGTTAAGACTGAGACCACGAGAATCCCAGTGCAGAGACAGATGCTACAGAGCAAGGCGAAAGAAGGTAAGGTAAAATCCAAGGTAAAGTAAAATTTTGGACTTGCCCAGAGGAAATCCTCCAATCTAGCCCCCAAACAGAGGTGGCTTATTTCAACATTAATTAAAATGGCTGTGACAGAATAAATTACTCCCAACATTTTTCAAAAGGGATTAAAAATGGTGCCATTCAAACTTAGCAAGGCAGGTTTACAAACATGAACCAGCTGGGCTCCACAATGAAACTGTAAGATCTGCAGTATTTTTGTGGCACCTATAAAGCATAGAGAGAAACATGTAATTTATCTGCTTTTCAGCACTGAAATGTGGTGTGGAAGGTCTCGATTGTTGGTGATTTGTCACATCTTTGACCAACCTATTACATCTGGGAAGCAAGCGTGTGTCAGGTCTTTTCTATAATAGCATGTATATTGTAAGGCATGTTATATTCTGGATATACGTCGCTTTAAACCTCTATGTTCTCAAATACTTTTTCCTTAACTGAAAACATTGAGAGCCCATGCTATCAAGGCAGAAGTCGTTTCGTGTGGTGAAACCCTGTGAGAGCATTAGGGTCTCGGAGTAAGATGTCGGAAGAGTTTTTACCCTATGAGCCAGTCCCGTCTCACACCCCTTACCTGTTGGCACGTATTTCATTCAGTGAAAGAATTGCTTAAGCATGGTAGCGTGTCTCTGAAAGGGAGATGCATGTGTCCAGCTTGACTTTGCTCCTTGTTTTCAGGGGTTTTCTGAGTTCTTCCGGCTCTTTAGTCCCTGCGTTTCTCCGGACTTTTACACTTTCAAGAGGAGGATGCTCTTACAGTCCATGTCAGGTTCTTACTGTGCTCAGCGAGCAGTGCTCTGCATCTCCCTCATCTCCCTCACGTTGCCGAGTATCAATTGGCAGGGTCAGTGACCAGCTCCACACTTATTAAAATGGTTACACCTCCTTGGGAACTGTTTATATTTCCAGAGCTATCGCTAAAGGCCTTTTATCTTCTTAGTTCAGCTTCTTGCATCAGTCATTCCAACAAAAGGCAAGCCATCTGGATTGCTCTTGATTTTAACTGGTTGTGGGAAAAAGAGGATTCAAAGACTAAAGCTGGCATCCGACAGCCACACTTATTTACCACGGCACCACAAGGAGCAGCGGAGAGAGAAGTCTGGCCAGATCTCCTGTGCTGCCATCAAGATGTTTCCATCTTGGCTTCCTAGCTGAGTCTGGATCCGCAGATCTCACAGGAGAATATAAAAATAAAAAGCTATGTTTCAGCAGTGCATACCTAAGCACAGCATATGATATAACTCAGTAATTATCTTAGCAAATTTCTGAAAATTAAGCAGCAACAAAATTAAGAAGTTGCTGAAATAAACCGTCTAAAAACTCTCTGCTTGACTTCTCCATCTGCTCTGAAAGCTGAGCAATATTGCGGTGTAATTTTACTATGTGATTACTTTATTTTGGTTAACTATGGATTATTTTGATAGCTGGTATTCTTTAATGATTAATAAGTAGGCTGAATAAATGTTAAGTATTATTAAATGTGCTTTACATAGCATGAGTTGGAACCAAAAAAAAAAGCACTTCAAAATTTGTCTTTCCAATAACATGCCGAAAATATTGAAGA